AAATACATATTGGCGGTACTAAAATCTGGACGATTAAATGAGCATAATTGATACATTTTATAAGTTATTAGGAAAGCTTAATTAAGAACTTAATAGAGAACATTCCAAATTCAACGGATGCAGCAGTTTTATACTGATATCGTCCGATTATAATTAATTACATAAATAAAAACAGTACACCCTTTTTCTCATTCATCAGTTACACTTGTCTACTTGTCTTTATTTATGAGTTTCAGTTGATTATAAATCCTAGGAATCTGACTGAGCACAACGCGCAGTGTTGGCAACTTGTGCTAATAAACTTCTTAATCTATCACATAAATTGCCATATTTTTATATTGAACGAAACGTCTTACGGCCTACCAATACGCCATAGTCGAATAATAACATGATTATCCACAACAGAAATTGGTTATTATAACATGCAAAGCACAATTTTTTAAATTATTTACCATTAGTAATATATTTCAGCAAAGTCAACAATAAACTTGGCAATCTGCAGCAAGTAACGGCAGCTTATATTTGGACCAATCAAAGGTGGCTCAGGTACATGTGGTGGAATGAAATAGTTGACACTCGTTTCAGTCTTTATGTTTTTATTTCTATGGTCTTTATCTATGGTCTTTATTTATGATCGGCAGTTCGGTGCTCGGTTTCGTATCTGTTCTTATTTCATTATAGTGTTTGTTTCTCTGGATTGTCAATTTGTTATAAGCCTTCTTCTATACAATTTAATTAATTATGTCGGACGAGGAAGACCTGCCGAAAACTTTAACTCCCAAAGAATCCCATGAGCCCATCGTAAATTCACAGGAACCCCAAAAGCTGCCATGGGGAAGAATTCTTTCATTTAAAAAATTTCTTCAGAATGTGGGTGAGTTCCAGTTTTGTTATAAGTATTAAATTAAGATATTGCATAAGTAGACATCGAGATTTTAAGATAATTATGTCTTTCATTGGTTAATGTTCATTTGACCACAAGGTCGGTTGGTGTATCAGATGAATATTTTTAAATGTTTTAAAAAAATTGGAAATTAATAAAAGAAACTGTCTTAAAGGTTAGCTGGTCAAGCTCTTGTAACCACCTTAGCTTTGTTTAACCTATTGTTAGGGCTTGGGGTTAGAGTTGGAATAGAGTTAAAATATTGAAATGTACAGGGTTATTGGTTGAACTTTGGTCACCCCGTTTTTACATCTAATTTGAAATTTAAGGAAAAATATTAAATACAAAAGCTGGAGATAATGACGTCTAGTTTGTAGATAAGTTCTACAGGGTGTTCCGTAAATTTGTGAAAATATTTTAACAACGTGTTCTCCTAGTCATTTCAGAGGGGGTTTTCTTGAGAATTTTTTTAATTTGAGGTCTCATTTTTGAAATATTTGATCTCCAAAATGGCGAAAAATATTAGTTTTTGTTGTTTGTCTTTCAAACGGTTCAACATAGAATCTTCCATTTTGGTATACATTATAAGCTAATTGAGTGCCATTCTATGGTAGTGTTTTGTAGTTCAGTTTACTTTTATACAGGGTAGAAATGTGGAACCCTTACTTTTGTTTTGTTCAGAACTTTTTTGTATGCACCTAAACGTTTATCAACATATTTTTTTTAATTACTACAAGTTATTTATCAACTTTTTTATCTCTTATTGTTTTTTCCTAAGACCACTAGCTTGCCCGCAAAAAAATTAAATCGTTTCGGCTTGATCAAAACTTTCCAGGCTCCTATAAACTCGCCTCCTAGATCACCCGATCTAAACGCGCTTGATTTTTACTTCTGGGGCCATTTTAAAAATTCCGTATATTCAACAAAAGTGAATACAATCGAAGAACTTCAGGAAAGAATATTTAATATTTCTAACGAAATAAGAACTTCAGTGCAAACTTTACGGTCTGTAAATTTAAATTTCATTAAAATACGGCGATTATGCCAAGAATGTCAAAGTGACCAATTTTAACAGCTGCTAAGTTAACATTAGAATGGTTATTTAAATTTAATTTTGTTTGTTTATATCGTTGCGCATATTGTTACCATGTTATTATTTAAGTACAATTGATTCAAACTTAATATCTGTAATCTGAACCAAAATACACAATTTAGAAAAATAATTTGTTAGTAATCAACTCATAATGCGTACCAAAATTATTATATGAAAACGTTAATATAATTTAAAAAATTAACTTAATTACTTACACATTTTGAGAACGACAAATAAAACGATTTTATTTTTTGCGGACAAATTAGTGGTCTTAGGAAAAAACAATAAGAGACAGAAAAGTTAGTAAATAACTTGTAGTAATTAACCAAATTATGTTGAGAAAAGTTGTGCACAAAAATGCGCACAAAAAAGTTCTGATCAAAACAAAAGTAGGGGTTCCACATTTCTACCTTGTATAAAAGCAAACTGAACCACGAAACACTATCATAAAATGGCAGTCAATTAACTTATAATGTATACCAAAATTAAAGTTTTTATATTTAACCGTTTTAAAGGAAAACAACAAAAACTAATATTTTCCGCCATTTTGGAAATCAAATATCTCAATAAAGAAACCTCAAATTAAAAAAAAAATTCAGGAAAACCCCCCTCTAAAATGACTAGGGGAAAAGGCTGTTAAAATATTTTAACATATTTACGGAACACCCTGTATATTGTTGAGGCGGGTTCATTTTTTTACAAACTGCTTGTTGGGTATTTTGCCTCAAAAATTTGTGTCTTTAAAAAAGACAGAATTTTCTCACGTTTTAATATATATAACAAATTCAGATCCATTGGGGTACAATTGAGGGTTGACAATTTGGGGTACTGTAACAAATTATAATAATAATAATAATAGTGGTGGTACAACAATAACAGAAAATAGCTATCGAAACGTCAACGTAATTTTTCAAATTAATTTCTTTACTAATTGGAATTTTCTCTTACCGCTTGAGCCTAAGCGTGTCGCAGGTACCCTCTAGGACAGTTCTTGATTACTTTTTGATAAATAATTCGTTCTTATTGCGAAATAAGAGCACTATTTATCAATCTGTAATAAAAGACGTGGAGAAATTTTTTCTTTTTTAAGAGTAAATATTTTTGAGGCGAAAGCAACAAATAGTTTGTAAAAAAAACGTCTAGTTTACAATACCAAATTCAATCTCTCTCTTCTCAAATTTAAGTGACGGACCAACCTTACATTTTTTTAATGAAATACAGCACTTTTTATTACATATTTGAACTATACGCAACACTCCGCCTTCTCCTATATTCCTCTATCCCCAGAAGAATAGCTGATGGTGACCGTAGGGTTAACATTCCTCGGATAAACTTTTTGTGGAAACATTGCACAAAATTGGACTATTTTCTATTTTTGGTGCTGAGTTGCTTAATATAATTAGTGACGTTGATTATCGAATTTGCGAATAAGTTGCTAAACAATCTTATAAATAATAAACAATCTTATAAATAATAAACTTGGTCGCACAACGAATATTCATCTATTGTAATATATTTTATTTTAGATCTAGTTCAAGAATTTACTTTCGGCAGAGCAGAGAAATGCACTGTGAGAATATCAAGTAATTGTGACCCCGCAAATGTCGTTTTCGGAATATCAAAGATCCATTTCCGGATTGAAAAATCTCAAGATGACAAGCTGATATATATAACCGATCTGAGTAAGAATGGTACTTTTGTTAATAAAGTGAAGTTGGGAAACGGACAACGGTAAGACTTTTTAATCGAATTGTAATCTAAAATTTATAGAATAAGAATGCTTGCTTGAATGAAGTACTTGCTTTTGCGGCAATTACGCTTTCTGCTGTAGTTGGAAATCACTTAATTTATTGCACATATTTTAAGTTAAAAACGTTATTAAAATATTTTGATTGATGAGTAAGAATGTATACTTAATAAAATCTATACGTGTAGAAAACATCTTTTTAGAGATTTTCGTACAGATTACTTTTTAGTGATTAAATAAAGTGGTGAAAAGCTTATTACCACTATGTTAAACATTTTGCTGGTTGAATAAATACGAGCTCATTTTGTAAAGTTAGAGCCACAGTTTTACACGTTTGCATTTGGTTTAAATATGAATTCTTGTTTAGCCCATTGTGAAATAATAAAATTGACATTTATTTTCATCATAATTCAAATATGTAAATTGCCAGCCACTGTTAATTAAATGATTCTGTTTGTAACTGTTATATATATTCAATAATTTCCTTAATAATTTAAAATACAATATATAAACTTGCAATGTTTTATCGATTTTACGCTAAATTTATATTATTGTTATACATTAAATGTTACTTTGAACAATGAGTATCTTAATTGTGTTAAATGTTATGTTTAATTATTTTAGAAAAATTCTCAAAAGTTATGACGAAATTGCCGTGACATCGCCCGAATATAAATTATACTGCTTTTTGGAGCAGAGCAGCCAAGAAAATGATTTTTTACCACCTTTTCTATTCACCAAATACGCCAACATACGACTGCTAGGCCGAGGCTCATGTGGCGAAGTACGCCTAGTTAAAAACAGGGTAAGCATAGATTGACTGGAAATCTGTTATGTATATTTGTTAACGAAATTTATGTTTTGCCATTTCAGGATACACTTCAAAATTTTGCAATCAAGAAAATTATTTTAAGTGATTCGTCTCTAAGTCATCGCATTAATCATCCGACAAAAGTATACAATGAAATTGACCTTTTGCAAAAACTAAAGCATGTAAGTAATTTAATAATAATCTAATGTATTATCGTACCGCTAGGTGGATAGATAGAAGCAGTTTTTTTTTATTAATGCTTTCTGAGCGTTCCTCGAGTGGAATTAGTAATCGACATCAGTCTTGCGGGATAAACTTTTTGCGCATCCACCGATCCGTCCATTATGCAGCCAAATTCCACTGAGAAAGGAAATATCCGGAATTTATCTCCCTAGCGATAGTTTAGTTCCGTCTGCGAAAAACTCATCTCATGTAGAGTTAAAGGATACACTCCTTTGCAAATTTCATTTACAAGTTATTTTGTTTCTACTTTTTGAAAAATGTATTATGTTGTATCAAAAGTTTCTGAAACATGTTTTGTTAATAATATGGTTTGTCCATATAAAGAGAAAGTTTATTACTGTATATTACTGGCACAAAAATATGTTTAACCAAAACTAGATTAAAATTTTCATATACGATTCGAAATTAAATAAAGGACGCGATCGGCTGAATAAAAACACATCTAACCCACAGTTTGCGACAAGAAAGGTAAAAGATAAGACCTCCAATAAAGTAAGAACTGTATGCTATGGTTCGACCGTGGTCAGAAACACAATAATTCTAAGAAAAAATGGATCTGCCATCTTTTTTACTGTGCATTTTTTACTGTGACTTTTCTTTTTTACTGTGCATTTAAATTATCTTTCATTCTGTAAGCGACCTTAAAATTTATGTGCGACTTGGTTTTCGGCCATCTTAGTTTAACAAATTAATGTCATATCTTATGTATAAAATATTTTTAGCCTGGTGTTATTACGATGTTTGATATCCAACAACACGAAAGAGAAGTATATTTAGTGCTGGAGTATATGCAAGGGGGTGAGTTTACGAAAAGGATACTTTCCGAGGCAATGACAGAGGATATAACAAAATTTTATTTTTTACAAATGATTGTGGCTACTCAATATTTACATTCCCAGGGAGTCATCCATCGAGATTTAAAGGTGAGTTTAACCGGCACCATCGCAAGTCGAGCCCCCCAATTGCTCTGACGTCACGAGGACCATTTCGCTATGAGATCTGTGGTATCTTACCGCCTCGCCCCGCCTACTCGTGACGTCAAAGCAGTCGGGCCATGACTTGTTGCGGTGCCGGTTTAACGCATTTCATTTTGAGCAAGTAAGTAAAATATCCTGCTTTACATTGGATGTCGTGCTACGGCAAAAGAGAGTCTGAGTTAAGAAAAACGGTTTTTATTTTTGAAATTTTGCCTATTGGTCCATAGAGGTTTTGTGTTGCTCTGATTACTGAATCATTATGGAGAGTCACTAATTCTTCAAGACATTTGTTTGAAGATATTCTACAACTAGACGGTTTGCCAAGAAATTAATGGCTTTCCGGCATACGTTACTCTTATATGGGTGATAGTAGGAAAATGTGGCGGGGCTTACTTTGCAGTTGATTTATAGTTACATACTTTCTCCATGGCTCTACAACCCGGGGTTATCCATCTTCCATCAATCCTGAGGCGTATTCTATTGATTGATGTTGTCACGCCACCTCTTTCGGGGGCGACCTAAAGGTCTTCGTCCCGTTAGTGTTCCTTCCCAAGTCAATTTTATCAGCCGTATTGCAGGCTGCCTTTGTACATGAGCCGCCCATAGCAGCCTTCGTGTCTTTATCTCCTTCACAATATCTGGATCTTTGTATAATTCTGATATTTCCTGATTGGTTATTACTCGGTATTGATGTCACCGTACTTCGCAATGGTCCAAAATTCTTGAGCAGAACATTTCTTTCAAAAAATCTCAATTTTCGTTCGTTGTCTTTGGCCAGAGTCCAAGTTTCGCCAGCATACATAACAGTCGGTCGTATAATAGTTTTATAAATTGTGATTTTTGTTCTTCGCGAGATGTCTTTCGATGCTAGCACTGATCGTAGTGCATAGAGACATTTGTTTCCACTTTGAATTTGAAGTCGTTGCCGAAACTGATTGTGAGAAGTTCCATAAGGCTCTATGTTAAACCAGTATCCGAGCAATTGTTGCCGGGTAAAAGTATCCTCGTGTAAAAGGGTTCTAAAGTTGCGACCCTCTTGAAATTGTATTCCCCGTAGTGACATTTTGGCACCACTCTATCTCTACGTCTTGTTCTATTGGTGTGCATATACTTGTTTTTTTCTTCGTTTATTCTGAGCCCGATTTTCTCAGCTTTCTTTTCTACCCTCTAAAATAGGTCTTTCACAGTCAGTACCGTGTTACCGACCATGTCAATATCATCGTCAAAGGCCAGTAATAATTTTTGGCTATCCCGACTAAAAAGTTCAAGATTTATTTTAGCGGTTCTTAATAGTTTCTCAAGAGCAATGTTGAATACAATTGGAGATATCGCGTCTCCCTGCTTAAGCTCGCTATTTACCTCAAAAGGGTTGGAAAGTATGTCCTCGATTCGTATCCTGCTTCGGAAACCATTTACATACATTCTCGTAATATATATTTTTTAGGAAGTCTTATTTCCGCCATTGCATCTCAAAGTTAAACACGCATTATGCTGTAGTATGCTTGCCTGAAGTCTACAAACAGATGGTGGACGTCTCGGTAATCTCCCAGAATTTTTTCAGCAATTGTATTATGGTAAAAATTGGGTCAACTGTTGATCTGCATCTTCGGAAGCTGCACTGATAGTCTGCAATATTTCTGTAATTGGTTTTAGGCGCTCCAGGACTATGTTAGGACTATGTAGGCTAGAATATTTAATGCAGTGCTAATGAGGAAGATTCCTTTGTAATTGCTGCCCTTCTTTTTATCCTCTTTTTTGTGTAAGGTGTAAATAGGGACGATTATACTCTCCTTCCTTCATTTGGTATTGTTTACTCTTTCCATATTAATAAGATCAGCCTATGCAATGGCTCCGCCCATTTTTATACATTTCGAAGGAATCATATCATTTCCGGGGGCTTTGTTGCTTTTAAGCTTGTTTATAGCTTTTATTACCTCTTGTATGAGGGATTTCCTATGTGCGGTTCTACATTGTCGTTGTTAATGTTTATCTTTAGAAGTGCGTCGAAATATTGTTTCGATTATCTAATCAAATAGTTTTTGTCGCTTGTTAAGTGGCCATCTCCCTCCCTGATCATTGTTTCCCCTCTAAATTCATGGTTGCTCGACTGAAATGTGAGGAAAATCCTTCACCTGCGTCACCTTAGGTCTGGACGCAGCATAAAATTTACTGTCCTTGTAAATCCATGTATTATTTTGCAGACACTCTTTTAATTTATATTGAAATAATAAATGGTAACTAAACAGTTTTAATTTTATTTTGGGTATTGCTTCAATATATTGTTGCGTTGGGGGGAAACCGTAAAGCTGAAACATTCACCGATTGATGACGCGGGAGATTTGGCCGCACTTTGGTCCATATAGGTAGTTGAATTAGAGTTGGTGGGTGAACTAGGTTTCACCACCGTTGTCCCCTGTAGCGCTAGGTTGTCCCCACCAGAACGGTGAATCTCATTATTGGTCGGATTCATAACGGGTGGTAACTTTATAATTAATAACACAACACAAACCTTCTGAAAAAATAAGGTCACCACTTGGGAATACCCCCTGGAAATACTACGCCACAGTTCGTAAAATCGTTCGTAAAAGTCTTTCTTGGCTCACCGGGTAGGATGTCCAAGCGCGCTCCCGAGAAAACAATAGGTATCGCGACGAAACCTATCACACACTCTCCCCGGTCTGGCTATGCGGGCCTATTTATTTCATTCAAAAA